AAATTCTCTGTCAAAAAATACTTTCACCTATTAAAAAAAATTCCCAAAAGAATTCTTTATCAAGGAAAACTCCCTCCTATTAAAAAAAAATTCTTAACGAAATTCTCTATCAAAAAAAAATCTCACTTGTTAAAAAAATTTTCTAGTAACGAAATTATCTATCAAAAAAAAAATCTTTCCTATTAAAAAAATTCTTCAAATAATTTTCTGCAAAAAAAAAAAGCAATTCTCAATTAATTCTCTATCAAAAAAAAAAAATTTCTCCTGTCACAAAAAATTGTTAAGTATATGTCAAAAAAAAAATCTTATCAAAAAAAAATTCTCCAATAAAATTTCTATCAAATAAAAATTTTTAACGAAATTATCATCAAAAAAAAAACTCAGAAATGTTCCTATCAATGAAAAAAATTTTCTAACGAAATTTTTTATCAAAAAAATCTTATTAAAAAAATTCCCAAAGAAATTCTATCAAACTAAGCCTTTGCCTATATTAAAAATAAAATTCTCTACAAAATTTGTTTATAAAAAAAAGCCAATAAAAAAAAAAAAAAATTTTTTTAAAACTACGCTAAACTTAAAACATGTGACCAACAATATATCAACCCTGTGCTGACAAAGAAACTAATTTTTGACAAAGATAAAATTATCGAGCATAGTTGGATTAAATCAACCCTATAAAAAAAGAAAATTCGGAATTTGTCCTGAAAAGTATGGAAAATGTCCAGAAAATTTCAATGCGTCCGGAAAACATTAGGAAACGGTCATGTTTTGGAACATTTTCCGGACGCTCGATTCTGGACAAATTCTGGACAAATTCTGTAGTGTCAAGAAAATGTCTGGAATTTGTGCGTCCGGAAAGTGTTCCAAAACGTGACCGTTTCCGAATGTTTTCCAGACGCACGGAAAATTTCCAGACATTTTCCATACTTTTCAGGACAAATTCCGAATTTTCTTTTTTTATAGGGCAAACACAGTTGGACAAAAACATCAAGCACAGACGGACAAAAATATCAAGCACAGATGGATAAAAACATAAAGCATGGATGGATAAAAATGTCAAGCATGGTCGGATAAAACCATCAAGCACGTACAGATAAAACCATCAAGCACGTACAGATAAATATCAAGCACGTACAGATAAACATCAAACACGTACAGATAAAACATCAAGCACGTACAGATAAAACATCAAGCATGTACAGATAAACATCAAGCATGAACAGATAAAAATATCAAGCACGTGATAGATAAACATCAAGCATGAACAGATAAAAATATCAAGCACATACAGATAAATATCAAGCACGGGACAGATGAATATCAAGCATGAACAGGTAAAATGTCAGGCACAGTGTAACATTTTGTCAATCCATGCTTGATTTTTCACCCGCCCAATGCCTGATAGTTTAGTCCAGCTCGGCTTGCCATAATGTCGAACCTAATTAACATGTTGGTTATGATCAACGCATTGAACATGTTAGTCATATTATACATAGTAAATATATTAAATTTCTTCGTATATGTATAATTTATTATAAATATAGGTCAATTTTCTTGTTGTAATGAAAGGAAATAAATAAAGTTTTCATTTTTAAGTTATAAAGTGACAGTTTTTATCAAGTGAAATCCTTTATTCGTGTTTGGAAGTATATGCCGACGTACAGCGCTATACAACACGTCTGATCGGATAATTTTTATACATTGTTTAATATATTGTCTAATTATACACTACATAAACCTTCTGCTACCTAACCATATAAATTGCTTAATAAATTTAAGCGTAAAGAACTGATACAACAGTATAACATGCATTTTTATCACGTGAACAGTTTTCTGGTTTTTTTTGCAACACACTGTATGTATATTTCAGACATATTTTTTTTTTTATATTTGATCAGGTTCATTTAAAAATGTTATATATTCGCTTTATATATTTAATTTCCTTCAATTCCTATTATAATTAATCCCAAAAATTAGCCTCCTGAACAATGTATACTGTACGAATAATAAATATTTCCTTGATGTTAATATGTAGTTAGCTCCCAGATTTTTGGCCAGCCAAATTGACAATTCATAATTCCTTGATGTCAATATATGGTTAGCTCTTGATTTTTGATCAACCAATTCGGATCATGCTGCAGATCATGATTAATTTTT